GAGTGTCACTAACAGGGGGAAGTAAATTTTTGTGGCCCTCTCTCCCTTGTGTGATTTCACATAATGCATGCCATAAGAACAGGTAAGGTTTTATTGGCCAAAGCATCAGTTTGAAAATAATGCCTTCAGATCCAAAGGCTCTTCCTCACCTCGTGGCTGTCTTTTAACAAAGCATTGGGAAACAAATCTCAAAAGGGGCAAAGCTTTCCAAATGCAAAGCCAGCAAAAAAGTGGAACAAAGCCAGCAAGAAACAGCAGAGGACTTGGCAGCTATATACTGAAGCTTCAAACATACCCTGTGGGTGGCCATGGGTGTTGGCTGTAAAGCTACAAGCAGACTCTGCTTAGTCCTGCAATTATACACAAGAAGTATATTAAACTGCTTTGAAACCATATAGCAATTTAGGAAAGACTAGCGTAGCAGAAGCTGGGGTGCTAACTTCATGAATTCTCAGAAAAGTAAGTTATATGAATTGTTACGTTTCTTCATGCTTGGACACAGAGCTTTTCTTAAATTCTGATCATGTATTTGTAAGGTGGCAGTGCTGCTGCTGGGCCCACCACAGATTAGTGGGTCCCAACCCACCAGCTGAAGACCAGACTATTACTGCTCCTCTATGATGTCAGAGTTCTGGGGTTTTTTGGATTGCTTGTGAACAACTTATGATATTTTTGTTCCTCATTTACCACCACACTCTTCCTACAAATTCAATAATTTAGTACTCTAAACTAAAACTGGTAAAAATAAATAAATACTGGCATGTTGCAACCCCTCATATTCTAGAAAGATCCCAATCTCTCCTGAAATCACAAATACTACAGGTCTGGCTTCCATGGATTTTTTTCTTAATTTATACAAAAAAGAAAGCTGACACAAGGGAACACACTGTTGCAATTAGTTTACAATTAGTTATTCTGTACCAATAATGGATCAAGACACTATAGCATCACCTGTGAACTGAAAAACACTTGTGGGGCGTGGAATTCATTCATTAGTGAGACTATTCCTCATTTGACTATGCAAATTTTAAAGACTTTGTGAGCAGGCACAGTAGATTTTTGTTGTGGTTCAAACAGAAGTGACACCACCACTACCACCAAGATCTAATATATTAAATCTAGCAGGTAGTGTTGCATCAATCTCTCTAGATGCCTGCTCAATATAAGTAATGACATAATAACTATTTCCTGTTATAACTAAATGCAATTTCTCCTTATCCAGGAAACAGATTTATTTATTTAAGACATGTACAGTCTTACCTTGGAATTCAAATAGCTTAGTTGCCAAATGTTTTCGCTTCAGAACGATCAAAAACTGGAAGTGATTGTTCCAGTTTTTGAATGTTATTTTGGAAGCTGAAGGTCTGGTGAGGCCTCCACACAGCTTCTGATTGGCTGCAGAAGCTTCCTGCAGCCAATTGGAAGCCATGCCTTGGAAGTCGAACATTTGGGAAGTTGAACGGACTTCCAGAACAGATTCCGTTTGACTTCCAAGGTACATCAGTACAGTGGTACCCCGCAAGACGAATGCCTCGCAAGACGGAAAACCCGCAAGACGAAAGGGTTTTCTGTTTTGGAGGCGCTTCGCAAGACGAATTTCCCTATGGGCTTGCATCGCAAGACGAAAGCCCATAGGGAAATGCTGGCGGTCGGGAGCAAAGACTTTCGCCCACAGCCAGCCTTCAGAAGAGGACCTCTTCTGAAGGCCGGCGGGGGGCAAAAGTCTTTGCTCCCCCCCGCCTGCCTTCCCCCCGCCTGCCCGGGGCGATCTTAAAATGCTGGCGGGCGGGAGCGAAGCGTTCGCTGCCGACCCCCAGCATTTTAAAATCTCCAAGGGACAGCAGAGAAGTCTCTGTCCCGGGGAGATTTTAAAATGCTGGGGGTCGGGAGCAAAGCGTTAGCTGCCGACCCCCAGCATTTTAAAATCTCCCCCTGTCCCGGGAAGGTTTTAAAATGCTGGGGGTCGGGAGCGAAGCGCTGCCGACTCCCAGCATTTTAAAATCTCCCCGTGTCCCGGGGAGGTTTTAAAATGCTGGGGGTCGGGAGCGAAGCGCTGCCGACCCCCTGCATTTAAAAATCTCCCCGTGTCCCGGGAAGGTTTTAAAATGCTGGGGGTCGGCAGCGCTTCGCTCCCGACCCCCAGCATTTTAAAACGCTGTTCCGAAGGGGGGGGGACACCTGCCCCAGCCGCCCCACTTCGGAAAGCTGTTCCGAAGGGGGGAGGGGGGGCGGGGACATCTGCCCCAGCCGCCCCACTTCGGAAAGCTGTTCCGAAGCGGGGAGGTGGGCGGGGACACCTGCCCCAGCCGCCCCACTTCGGAAAGCTGTTCCGAAGCGGGGAGGGGGGGCGGGGACATCTGCCCCAGCCGCCCCACTTCGGAAAGCTGTTCCGAAGCGGGGAGGGGGGGCGGGGACATCTGCCCCAGCCGCCCCACTTCGGAAAGCTGTTCCGAAGCGGGGAGGGGGGGCGGGGACATCTGCCCCAGCCGCCCCACTTCGGAAAGCTGTTCCGAAGCGGGGAGGGGGGGCGGGGACACCTGCCCCAGCCGCCCCACTTCGGAAAGCTGTTCCGAAGGGGGGAGGGGGGCGGGGACACCTGCCCCAGCCGCCCCACTTCGGAAAGCTGTTCCGAAGCGGGGAGGGGGGGCGGGGACACCTGCCCCAGCCGCCCCACTTCGGAAAGCTGTTCCGAAGCGGGGAGGGGGGGCGGGGACACCTGCCCCAGCCGCCCCACTTCGGAAAGCTGTTCCGAAGCGGGGAGGGGGGGCGGGGACACCTGCCCCAGCCGCCCCACTTCGGAAAGCTGTTCCGAAGGGGGGAGGGGGGCGGGGACACCTGCCCCAGCCGCCCCACTTCGGAAAGCTGTTCCGAAGCGGGGAGGGGGGGCGGGGACACCTGCCCCAGCCGCCCCACTTCGGAAAGCTGTTCCGAAGCGGGGAGGGGGGCGGGGACACCTGCCCCAGCCGCCCCACTTCGGAAAGCTGTTCCGAAGCGGGGAGGGGGGGCGGGGACACCTGCCCCAGCCGCCCCACTTCGGAAAGCTGTTCCGAAGCGGGGAGGGGGGGCGGGGACACCTGCCCCAGCCGCCCCACTTCGGAAAGCTGTTCCGAAGCGGGGAGGGGGGGCGGGGACACCTGCCCCAGCCGCCCCACTTCGGAAAGCTGTTCCGAAGCGGGGAGGGGGGGCGGGGACATCTGCCCCAGCCGCCCCACTTCGGAAAGCTGTTCCGAAGCGGGGAGGGGGGCGGGGACATCTGCCCCAGCCGCCCCACTTCGGAAAGCTGTTCCGAAGCGGGGAGGGGGGGCGGGGACACCTGCCCCAGCTGCCCCACTTCGGAAAGCTGTTCCGAAGCGGGGAGGGGGGCGGGGACACCTGCCCCAGCCGCCCCACTTCGGAAAGCTGTTCCGAAGCGGGGAGGGGGGGCGGGGACATCTGCCCCAGCCGCCCCACTTCGGAAAGCTGTTCCGAAGTGGGGACGGGGGGCGGGGACATCTGCCCCAGCCGCCCCACTTCGGAAAGCTGTTCCGAAGTGGGGACGGGGGGCGGGGACATCTGCCCCAGCCGCCCCACTTCGGAAAGCTGTCCCAGGGTTTTTTAAAATGCTGGGGGTGGGAAGAAAAGCCCTTGTACCCCCCCCAGCCTTCAGAAGAGGTCCGGGGACAGACTGTCCCCGGACCTGGTCTGAAGGCGGTTTCCCTCGGAACGCATTAATTGATTTTCAATGCATTCCTATGGGAAACCGTGCATCGCAAGACGAAAAAACCGCAAGACGAAGAGACTTGCGGAACGAATTAATTTCGTCTTGCGAGGCACCACTGTATATACCATTTAATCATCAGCATATCTTAGTGGAACATGTAAAAATAATGCACACAGAGAATAATATCTTTAGAAATAATTATGAAATCTAACTTAAACTCAAACGCTGCCTTAAAATGCCTGCTAAAACAAGAAAGTCTTTGCCATGCACCTGAATTTTGCAAGACGGGTGCCTATTTAATCTCAGGTGGGCCTACTACACTGAATGCATGGCGTCTAACAAACAGTTGGACCTGATTGAGCAAGGAGGACCCAAAAGTAAAATGTGACTTCCACATGCATATTCCCTGCTGAATCAGAAACTGAAATGCCAATTGATACTGCACACATAATTCTAGTCACCAATCACTACTTGCAGGAAGCATGTGGGAGGTCTGAAACTAGGCTTCACTCCCACAGACTAAATTACTAGTGCTGTCAAAGATGACAGTGATGATCATCTGATTGGCATACTCAAATCGCTGTTTGCAATTTCAGACATTGAGTCTATATAAAAAATAATTTGAAGGTTTTAAAAACCTATTACTCAAGCCCAACTCTAGACCAAAAGTACTCACTAGAGTACTGTAAGTACATAAAATTCGCAGTTACCCAGGTAACTTGTTCCCTTTAAAATGAAAGAAGATTACATTAAAATTAGCAAAGATGCATCATTTGTTCAGGTGCATGTCAGTAAATGCTTTTGTCCAGGACTATGTACATGTTTATTACGTAGCAAATATTTGTCTAAAAATGTAATTATTTTATGTTTTAATTGTTCAGATACACCCTCTATCCGAGATTCTGATGGCAGAAAATTCCTCCCTCTTCCAGGTCCAAAAGAAAGCCAACCCCCTTCTTCTAAAGCAGATGATTTAAATGCTAAGTTGAAACCCATTATTCTGAGGTGATATTGTGAGGAAGGACTGACAAAATTTCAACAGAAAGTGTCAAAGAAAAACAGCAAAAGAATCTGGTTTATGAGTGATGTGGGTCAGTTACTCGTGGGTTCTGGGTAGAGAAACAAAATCCACTGGTGTGTTTCATTTAGCAAAATCCTTTCCAACTACGACTTTACGTGTATGGATTCACCTTCAAGTGAAGTGGTTTTGCACCAAGTAAGAAGGTTACAGAGGTCAGAGGATAGGAGTGAGTAAATTAACAAGGCTGCCAGAGACATGCAACATAGTCCTTAGAATTACCTTGAATCAGGATATTTAGTAAGTGTGGCCAAGCTGCTGGTATACATGTGCCCACCCACATCAATATGTACCGGTGCATTGGATTTTGTGAGCTGGGCTGGCGTGGGGATGCCTTGATTGTTCAAAGGAGATGCAGGGGACCTAGTGATCAGAGGTCTTGACATATTGGGCCGACTGTCCTGTGAAAAGACACAAACACCATTAGGATTTTGAGTTTCTATTTTAGAAAAGCCAACAACACAGCTAAGTTCACAATTAAGACTGAATAAAACATCACCAGCACCAAACCTCAGTCTCCATCTTTAAATAAAGCTCAGGAAGTCAGTTAAACTTGAAATCTAGTTACATTGCAAGCTAGGGGGGGAAATAAATAAAGACTGTTCTTTGAACACACTCTATGGAAAAGCAGTATTTTCAAACTTCTGTTTAAAAATGAAAACTAGCTCATACTTCAGAGCTAGATTAAGTCACTAATAATGACAAAGATCAAAAAATACAAAGGGAGAGGAGAGAAGCAGGATTTTGCTATGTCCCAAACCCACCTATGCGCTATGCAGTTAAAATAGGTAAATACAAACCCTCAGCTCTTCCATTCTGCCAACTCTTCTCTTGAATTTCCAATTCACATATCACGCAAACAGAAGAGGAAACACCTGGACTAGCCAACTGTTCATGTACTGTAAAACACGGGGCACCGAGAGCCTTTGAGAAAGACATTTTCCATGTAAATATTATACAAGTTGTGACAGATGCCCCTCTGCACCCAAAGAGGCTGCTATCCCCAGAGCAGCGTCCTGAAGAAATCTCCAAAAGGAAGCACCACAAGCAGATGCAGATGAAACAAACGCCTCAGTCAAACTGGAAATGCAATGTCAGTAAACTGCAAGCGCTAGCCCTGTGCAAAGAGTCAGGGTGGGGCAGAGCGAAGCAAAGCATTTTGCTGAAGCCAGCAAGGCAGACCAGTTTCAAAATTCTGGAATGTAAACAAAACAAAACCTGGGCACATTTCTAAGGCAACGGCACTTCCTCTTACCATATTCACTCAAGGATGTAGCTGGGATATACCAACTGAGGATACAGAATACTCCCCAGATTTTTTGTTTAGGGTTGTACGCATATTATCAGCAATAACCTGTGAGGACTCAACTAATCAGAAAGGCATAGGGTTGCACTGTTAATCCCAATTACCCATCATAAAATGAGAACAACCCCACAGAGTTATTAGGATTATTGGGCCATTGGGATAAGCACTGTAAATCATTTTGCATATAAAGGGGCTAAGAGGCTGATAAAATTATAATGAGCTTCTCCAGAGTATTTATAGTTCTGCACAGCGGAGAACAAATATAATATTAAACCATTTCCATTTGTAGGAGGCCCAAGCATTGTATTACCACATCATTTAAAAAGATGAATCTGTACCTGACCATTTAAAATATTCTTTCACTAAAACGGCTGGACATTATTCAATATTTGTGATGTCTGCTTAAGTCTGCCTGAACCATTTGGATCATTCACAGCAAAAAGAGGCAACTGCATATACTGTACTGGACAATGTAACTGAGCATACTAACGTATGCCTGACATAAGATAACACTTAAGTGAAAAAAATACTTAAATCTACTACATTCCTTCAAAACAGTAGCTCAAACTTTAAAAAGAACAGCATGAGAGATTTTAAAATTGAAACTAGGTTTAAGGGTCAGAGTTGCAGAATGCATTCAAGCTTCTTGGATATTGGGCCCAGACAATTAGGTCCAAAGGACAGCAAACAGAGCAATAATGTAAGCAAAGAAAGGGAGTTAAGATGTGACTTCTATCATTGTTATTTGAAGAATGCTATGTTCTTAGGATTTGGAAAGGCTGGAAGCCCTACTTGGAGAACAACAAAAACAGGTCTACACATCCCACAACCACCTTGAGTGGGACAACTGTACATTCTTTTAACATAATGCTAGGAAAGAGAAAATAAAATAAAATGTTTAGGAGATGGCTATAGATAAAATGAAGAGTTTGGGAATATAACAAATAATAGCTTTGTGGAGTATATGAAACATACTGTGGGTTGTATCCAATGCTAGCCCTACTCAGAGTAGACCCATTGAAACTAATAGGCACAACTAATCAGTTCCATAAATTTTAATGGGTTTACTCTGAGTTGAATACAGCTCTGTATGATTTTCTTTATGATTTCCCCCCATATCTATTATAATTTGGAATACAATAGAGTCAAAAAGACTTTAAAGAAAATATTTTCATAAAGGAAATCTGGCATGTTCTAATGTATCATCTTCCTCAGGTTCCTTACTAGAACTTTAACAGCAGATGTTAGTTCTGAAAAATGACTCTCTTTAAATACTGAAGGTCAGACACAAGTGGGAAAGTACAGTATATCTTATATTATAAAATCTAACCCAAGATTGTTCACTATAGGACATGAAACTGGACTCTCTACCTTTAATAAACAACACAACTTTAAAACATAGCTCACAACATTCAAGTTTACTATAACTCCTTACTAGAAAGCACTCCTTTCCCTGACAAATATGTCTGGCTGATACTTGTTGGGCTTATTTCACAGCGGGGGGGACGGGACCTGTGGCTCTTCAGGTGCTGTTGAACTAAAACTCCTGCCATCATTGACCATGCTGACTAGGGAAGATGGGAGCTGCAGCCTAACAACATCCAGAGAGGAACAGATGAGAGATCCCAATAATTGCATTGAACATGTACTATGAGCCACCTTTCTAAGCAGAACACTAAACCCTTCAAATGGGGGGTGGAGAGAGAGAGACAGAGCCAAAGCAACACTCTCCTGAGGTGTACTGACAAATCATTCATTTAAGGTATCTGCCTCTCCTGATTTCATACAACTTCAGGAGTTGTAAGAGAAGGGGAGAGCCATGTGTCCAACAGAATGACAATCTCATCACTGATTTTGCCATTACTGGTAAGCAACATTTTGTATGAAGTCTGGAAAGGTTTTTCCATTAAAGTAGTACATGCAAATGCCCTTATCATGCTAGTGCAATATGCAAGACACATATCATTTTGCAAAAACAGAGACTGGATGAGTCTGGAATGAAATATGAAATAATGTATCTGAAATTTTATACATGGTGTCAGTTAATAGGAAAATGCATACTTTAGGAATGGCACTACTACAGAAATTCACAAACAGCACCTCACCTTGATTATCATTCCCAAAATTCTGAACGCTTTAAAATTATGCAATGCTTTCATTGAGGCCCAGTGTGCACATGCATCCTGGGAGTTCTGGTATGTGTTTTTTTAATGTGGATGCAACATTCATTCTGCACTTTTGTGACACTTTAAAATACTGTCCTAGCCGAACCTATTTCTATTTCTTGCAATGTTTCTAAAATACCATATATGTGCACATAAGTAGGTACTACAATTATTTGTCCAGCTTAAGAACACTACAAGTGATGCAATCTTGATCTTGATCAAATAGACACACACACAAATATGTATAAATGTGTTTTCACAACTTAAAATACCTCAAATGCCATGCTGCACTGACCCTCAGATAAATATGCAAATATACCTGACCAGATCCAGTGCTCTCATGCAGGTATTATGTAATGCATGCAGTTTCTGATGAATTTCATCATCTCCCTGAATCTTCTAAGAGAAATCAATTCAATACAGTATTTAGCAGAAAGGTTTTGAGCCACTATTTTTCAGTTTATTTCAGTACCAACAGAGCCAAATATCTACCAACAAAAGTCTTTTCTCATACAAATGTGTGTTTGTGACCTCAAAATTTCCTTTTCTACTGATGCTAGTTTCTTAAAACCCTTAATGCTCAAATGTTACCAACACTCATATACTACTATTTTGTATTGTGGTGTTTTGCTTTCCTTTTAAGTTTCAAATTAATTCTTACAACATTCCTGTGATGATATTATCCCCATATCACAGGTGTGTGTGAGAGACAGAGGGAAAACATGGGAGGAGCCTGATAGTCAAGGACCATCATCATTTATATTTTGGAAGCTAGAAACAGCAGGATTCTTATGAACGCTACAGAATAAAAATGAATTAAAACTTAATGGAAAGTAACTCCTTCACTTTCTGTTGGTTCGCATGATGCTAGAATCTGAGTCAATTGCTGTAACTATTTCTTCAATTATTTCCGGTGTACCATGTATGGAATAGTTCTCTCCACTGCTACTGCAAACACAAACTTATGAAATAACTCATTTTCAGGAATGAAGAACTCCAAATCACTGCAAATATGATGTCAAAATATGAACTGAATACATCTGTAGGAATGCAGAAAAACGTTGCAATGGTCCTAGACAAATTCTCTCCCTATGTGTGAAAAGCTATTTTTTAAAAAACACAACAGAAGCAATCAGAAGCAATTCCAAAACCATGTGATCGGCTTCAAATCAACTTGATTTATACATTTGCACTAACACTTATTTATAGAAATTAACAACATGACTGTCCCTAACCAAACTGCACCACAGCTGTTCCTACTAGAACAAAATGCACATGAAAAAGCTCTTCTTAAGAATCACTATACGTACAATACTCACAAATATGTATGCAGATTGAAACCTAAATATCCTGCAACAGGATATTGTATGCCATCCCTATAACTTAGGAAAAAAATATCTATACATATAATTAAATAAATATATCTTCAACATGCTCCCTGAGATGTCAACAAAATATTTAAGAACTGGCTATATATGATACTTCTCCCAGTCCTGTCCATAATCATTATGGAGTCTCTGGCACAGTACTGCTGCAACCTGATACACCTACAGTATTTTTACATTCATATCCTGCTTACAGACTTCCATAGGCATCTGGTTAACTCCTGTGAGAACAGGATGCTGTGCTACATGGGCCTTGGTCTGATTCAGCAGGGCTCTTATAATGCTTTTGTACTTTTACTTACACTTTTTAAAGGGAAAATATACAAAGTAGCACACCTCTGTACACAAACTCACGCAATATCAGGATAACAACCATAACTTACTGCATGTAGTATGACAACACAGCTGGCACTCTTAACTGCTGTTTTCTCTAATGTGGACATATATATACGACTAGCAGCATATGTATTTTAAGATCACCATCCACTGATATTTTCTATTTTGTAAATTTGTAATAAAATAACATCGATCAATGCCAACATCCT